CGCCATATGGTCACCTCCGGGGCAGGCGGGAATCGAACTCATGCGGAAGTGGCTTTACCTTCTCAGTGCTGTGCTTTAACCCGCTGCACCACCAGGGAGGACCTGTCCATTCCATTTTTAAACAGCTCTTCGGGAAAGAATTATTACTCTCCAAGTAAATTGTGTCACTGCCACCCCAATATTTATTTTAACACATATTTGGGAAGAGGAGAGAGGAGAATAAAACAAAAATGTCATTTGTATATCATGATTCTTTAAGTGGAAAAGCTCATCCATGACTTTATGCAAATGAGCAGAAAGTCCCACGGAAACCTTCACATGGAACTAATTATTCCACTTTTCCTTGAGCCTAAGAAGCTGCTGGGGACAGCACAGCACCTACCGTAAGCACAGACTGAACGTAACTGGGACAACAGGAAGTAGTGACCAGCCAGAAGTTTGCCCTGACCTGGTTACAGATCTCCTAAAAGAAAGCAGCTGGAAAGAAAAGTACACGTCCAATAGGTTTCACTATTAAAGTTTACACAATGTGGAGTCATCAGCGAGCTGGCTGGCTACCCAGATCACATGATCATGTAGAAACATGAAACTTGACTATGTGCTCGAGCAAGTTTTACTTCTCCCTAGTGCAAGGGTGTTTGCCAGCAGCCTACACCTCAGAAACCAGACCAGACGCCTGGGACCCTTGACACACAGGCTTACCATGCTCAAGCTGCCCCGGAGGGTCAGGGACTGCTGACCTCGCCACTGACACTTTGTTGTGCTGTTTGGAATTGCCAGAAAGCATGGACAAGCTCAACAAAATAACTGTCCCTGCCAGTCAGAAGTTGAGGTAAGATTTCCCCATCCAATACTTCTTGTCTTTCTCTCTCTCTCTCTCTCTTTTTTTTTTCTTCAGTAATCTTACTGCATCTCAGAAATACTGAAATCCTGGAATACTTTGCTAGTTCCATGACAGTGAAAGATAATTACTATAAGGAAGTGGACTGAATTTTTAGGGAAATATATGGGAGCCAGTGGGCTTATTCGGACTGGTTTTTGCCAGTCCAATAAAGCTTTGGAGGGACAATAAAAAAAGAAAAGGGAAAAGCTTAAAGTCTCCCTAAGGGAAGTTTTCAGTCTGGATACAACAAATCTGCTTCTCAACCATGACACTGGGGCTTCCTATTCATTTTAAGCATAGTCGTAATCATTCGTTGTGGTTTTATTGCCTCTTATCATTTTGTGGGTGATTATCATTCATAATAATCAATCGGATCTGATGGCCCATTGACCTCATATCAATATATAAATCTTTTAGAAAGAATTGACCCAAAGAACAAGAATCAATAAACTCCTCTAAGCTCTCATGGCCTCCTGACTTTGGAAGTTTTAAATATTCAGTGATGTTTAGTATTTTGACTACCATTTAAACTTCCAGTATTTCATGGGGGTGATGGGATCCAAATAGTAAGGAGCACAGCCTTTGACAGTTACAATACAGGCCGTACACCTGGCGGGTGCCTGGTAAATACATCTTTGAAACAACTGATCTGGCTGCCTGCTGCTGTTCGCAGTGTGGAGTCAAGTGCGCTCTTAGGACCTGTGCTGATGGGCCCACGCGGTATGTGACTTCCGGTTGGTCTCAAGCTGTTACACCTCACAGAAGGAGGGTAGCTAAAACAGTGGAATTAGTCAGTGACTAAATGAATATGAGAAGAGAATTGGAAAAGTTTTTGTGGAGAAGACGCTAAGCTTCTGAGAGGTTTGAAGAATTGGGGGGAAAGGACCCTGTGTGCAAGCTAATGTGTGGACCCGGAATAGCCGCCTGTTTGTGGGAGGGTGAGGACTTTCTCACCCAATGGAAGCTGGAGCATTGAGCGTATGGGACCAGAATGTTCCAATATGGGCGGGACAGGTCCCAAAGGATAATGAGGGCTTTAAACACAGGGTGTTGTTGAAGGATTTACACAATGGCTGTGTCAGGACAGCAGGCTTCCTGGAGACCAGCAGGGTGGGACTCTTAAGACAGGGATTCTCACTAGGAGGGAAGCAGGCGAGTAAGCCAAGTTTGGGTTTGGGGTGCAGTGGTGGGAATGAAACCGAAAAACAAGGTGGGAAAGACATGTCAAGGAAAGGAACAAAGAGTGTACATTCTCTCAAAGGAGCAAGGGATCCTAAAGGCATAACCTTTAGCTATATTAAGCCATAGAACCGCTTTCCAAAAATCTGGATAGTAATGTAAGAAAGACAGTTGACCTTCAATCACTTTACAATCACCCTCCCCCACCCCACCTTGGGACAAAGTCCAGCTTGATCATGGAGCAGTCGACAGCAGTCTACAGCATAGATTATAGTGTATGGGAAGCCAAAATTACATTGTGGGTAATCATACATTACACTCATCTGCTTAGGCAGAAGTAATTTTTTTCCACTTGATTACTCAGTTGCTTTTCAGAATTGGCCTATGTTGGTAAAATGTGCAATGTCAACGTGGAACTTCTCAAAGAAATGAAATTATAAACACGATGGTATTAAAGCACTATCTAAAATCTTTCCTATAATTAGATGGGATGGTGACGGATAGGTAGATGAAATACTTGATCTCTGTGGTTTGTATCCTCTGTCCTGACTGTTTAACACCAGTCAGAAGGTTGTGCAATTATTTAGCACCAGAGGACAACATGAGTGAAGAGCTGTGTTTATGCTCTTGGATATAGCAAAGCTGATATGAGAATTTACTCAAATTATTAGCCATAGAAAATGTATAGTAAAGTGCCCATCATGGGGCTTAAATCCCTGTCTGATGGGTGTATGACCAAGGCTGAGAAGACACTGGAGGCAGAAGGGGTGACAGGAGGGGGGAGAAAGTCCAACAAGGAATGAGGACAGGCAGGATCAGATAGAAACAGGGACTTCTCGTGATAAAGGACCAGAACATTCTCAGATAGATGCAGTTAGGGATGGGTTCTCAGCCTGAGAATCTCTGCTGTGGAAAAATGGAGAAATGCAAGGCAGCTAGGTTGGATGTGACCACAGGAATGTGTGGGCTCAGAATCACCCTTTTTTCTTCATTGAGGCACCACACGGAGTAGGTTTCTCTGTTAGCAGGGATCCAGAAACTCCATAAACTCAATTCTTAACCATAATCTTCCCTGGATTTTAGAAGGTAGTGAGGGCCACAGAAAACCAGCTGAGACTTCGTTTCTCAATCCTTCCACAGTACACATTCCTGTGACCATAAAAGTTTCTTGGTAGACATTAAAAATGTTGAACCACGTTGAATATATCTTTTCATGTTAATGGAGATAATGTGAAGAGGAAATTTTACATTTTTAGTAACCATCCCTGGGCTCATCATCATCTGTGCCTGCATATTTTTCTTTGCAGCACTCAGGTAGTTTTTAAAAGTGGAAAAGTTTTTTTAACATAGTGTACTCAAGTCTCCTCAACTCTTAGCTTATTGGTTAAAAAGCGTGGTGGTTTTCAGTTAAAGGATGCATGACTTCAGGCAAGTTTACTTACTCTCTCTGGTCCTAGTTTTCAGCCATTCAGACAGAGATAATAACAGTACTGATCTCAGAGGACTGCCTTAAAGATTAAATAAACAGCTGACACAGCAACCCTTGTAAGGTGATTATTAGATTAAAAACTGGACTGATTAAGATCATTTTTTGTTGTTCTTGTTAATTCTGTAGGTGTATGATTGATTTTCTGAACAGCCACATTGATTTACATTGATCCTTGATAGATTTCAAGTTTCAGTTCTTCTTTCCAGTTATTTTGGCTATTTTACCTGTTGAGTCTGACATCTGTGGCATTTAGCTTTGCATGGACAGTAGACGTGACAAACAGTCCTTCCCTGCCTTTGTCTACGTGGTTAATAACACGGTGGAGCATGACAGAGCCCTGTCATGGGTGTCTGGGCCCCACCACCAGGCTTCCACTCAGAGAGATCATTTGTTAGATTCCAGGGCGTGACTTCTCGGAGTCCTTGACGGGAGTTTCCTTTACTTAACCTTTCAAGTCAATTCTTCAGAAACAAGTCACCTCTTTACACCTTTCTTTACCAGCCCTTCTTATTTCTGTCAACAGCATCACCCCCAACCCTCAGCCTGACTCATCCATCTCTCTGCACCTGTATTCCCTGGCCACACCTGGACGTTTTTCCTTTGTGATCAGCGCATATACTCCTCACCTTTCCCACCCTTCGTCTCCCCGGGGTGCTCATGTCCAATGAGGAGTTTGGAACAGTTTGAAAAAAAAAAAAAAGAGGCTCTGATGCGGTATGATGTGCTAAACATGAAGGCTATGTCTGACATATGTTACATCCCTTATGGTTACCATTTTATCCATGACCCTCTGGATAAAATGAGGATCAATTATCAATTGACCAATTGTCAATTTTCTTGAGAGCATTAAACAGTTTCCAATCTATTGTCAAATTTTTCTCTGACTGCTTTGAAAGTTGTCTATCTCTGAACACTGGGGTCTGAATGACATCCAGATGCAACCAAGGAGACAGTATCTGTGATCAGCTAATAGGAAGATGCAGGTGGCATCTAAAGGCTGAACACCAGTTGCCAGTCACTTACTGTGGGGCCCTGAGGATGCCTCTCAGCTTCTCTCAACTGTTTCCTCAACTGTCCAGACTGGATATGCCTTCCTGACAGACTTGTAGAGACCATGGGTCATTTTGACATGGTCAAAAATGCCCAGTGTGATCGCTGTCACATGGGCAGCATCATAAGTAATGAAAAGCAAACACAGCTGGTGCTTCCATCCACCCTTGCAAGGGGCCGTTAGCTGTCCCTCTTCCTGCCCCCAGCAGTGGCTCCAACCCCTTGAACGGAGGTGGCAAGCAAAGCAAGAAGCTGCCCACTGGCATGGAGTAGACAGAACAACTCGAGCACACATGTGCCTTCAGGCATCTCCCTTCTTCTCATTCTTTGATAAGCTTGGGTCAGAGGCCAGTGCTGATGTGGGGGCAAAAAGGAAGCTCAGTGTCTAATGGTAGAGCCAGACTTCCCTAGAAAGTCTGACTTCCCACTCTCTTTACTCCACCTACCTGCATTTTGTCAGCTGGGCCACCTGTGTCGCATTGGTGGACAGAATATTCTAGAAAGGGCTCTTTTTTTTCTTGAGAGCTAAATACACAGTAGCCAAATCACTAGAAATTTACTTAGTGTATGTGGACTTCAGGATTACCAGCTAAGAAAAATCAAGTTTCTCCTTCATTCTTCCTATCTGCCCTGGGCATGTCTGTGCCAGGAAACCCTAGAGCAGGTGCCACATTGCCCAGGTGCCCTCTCTGGATGCAGAAGTCACCTGTAAGCCATGGCTGGACAAGTCTTTCCTCATCAGTAGCCATTGTCCAAATGGACTATGATACTAGGACTAGAATGTTAAGTTTTCAAAACCGAACACAATTACCTCCCAGCTCTGTCTCTACATCACCTGCTCCCAGGCCAGCCAGCACCATACCTTATAGGGACACTTACTTGGTTTCCTCCAGGGATGACTTACTTCCTCTGTTCTGTGGCTAATTAATTAAATGGGTTCACTTTCTAAAAGGATCTTGTTATCACTCTCATATAGTGACATCAAGAGGTGTAGGCCTGTTACAAACATGAATATGAAAACAAGAGGGAGAAATTAAATGGCAGCCTGTTGGTGGGGCGCTTCAGCCCTTGAGGGGTTCCCTGCTAGTGCCTACAGCTGGCCTCCCCCACAGCACACTGCAGCATTTATTCAGTGGCTCTACAGCAGGGACAAGTTTGCCCACTGGAAGACTCGGTCGTCCCAATTGAGGCTGGTGCTGGCGCTGGTAGGGAGGTGTCAAGATGCTACTAAAAATCCCAAATTACACAGGGCAGTTCTCACCACAAAGCTGTATCTGAGCCAAATGCCCAGAGTGCTACTGATTCAGACCAAGTGGGATGAATTTTCTCTAGAACAAGAAGCATGCATTCACTGGCATGAACTTATAGTGGCAGTGTGGAGTTAGGGGTTAGAAGGTGAATTATGTCTTTGCCACTGATGTGACTTCTGCCCACCACAGTGATTGGCCTCTCTCTGGGATAACTTGGGTGTGAGGTGCAAGGTGCCAGGGGTGATGGGCGAGAGATGCTTGGGTCTGTACGCTGTGTGTATTTTTTTTTTAAATCCAAGTGAAACAAAAGTAGATTCCATGAACTGCATGTAACACGGAGGTCTGTGTCAGTCACCACCTCTCCTGTAGAGAAATGAGAGCAGGAAAGCATTCCAGACACAAGGTCATGCTGGAATGGTCTCTTGTGTTAATAGACTAACACATTCATTTATAACAGGGCTATTCAGCAGCCCAAGAGCTGGTGGGTCTGATCCAAATTCAGAAAGAGGTGGACATGCTGTGCTTATTTAGAAGCAGAATATGTTGCCCTGAGGTCCAGGGGACGAACACTACCTGATCAAAGACATTTTGGGGTGGACAGGAGATGCACTGAACATCCACTTTTGTTGTCTTCTCAGTCGTGAAGCTTCTGCAGCTTCTGCTGGAGTGGTTCTCCACCAGCTGGGGCGGTTTGGGCTTCACTATTCTCTCTCTCTCCCTTGGTTTCCCCAGGCTGTGTGTATAGATTTTGAAACTGATGGATGGATTTTGAGAGTGTAATGTTTTTTAAGTTTATTCCAGTTCTATTATAAAACAATCCTGTATTTCCTCTCCTCTCCTCCTCCTCCATATGACCCGTGAAATTGGTATTGATCTTATCCAGATCTCAGGAGTTTGCTTAATTCTCTAATGTGTAGTAGGGACAGTGAGAGGTGTGTGCAATCACCCTCCTGGGATGTGGCGAGGCTGCTGCTTGCTGTCAGCCAGGTGCGCGAGGTCTGGCAGGGTCCTGCATTCTGCCCAAGGAAACCTTCTAGGTCCCCTGAACCCAGACTCCATGATGTAGCGGGGCCACCACAGCTTCCCTGTCACATGCCTTACACTTGATGGTTCCATCAGATCCCCTTAAGTGTCGCTGACTTGGCCACTCTGCTTCTTTACGGTCTGTCTCTCTGTTTGGGTTCTTGGGGACAGCTTGCATTCTCTGATCCCACATAACTTGCTCGGTTTCCTACATTTCCAGGAACCAAGCACAGACAGGCTTAGGGATTAGGTGGATGACACACCTTGACTCCAGAAATGGGCCCCACCTGCAGGTGGGGTGGAATGCCAATTTTGCCCAACTAAGTTCTGTCTCCAGACTGAAGGTGAGCCCTGAATGTGACCTGAACTGCCAACTTGTGGGACCCACCTGACCTCAACCACATGGTAGGGAAGTGGCTTGGGTGCTGGTTCTGCTGTGGGGCATGGCCACTCGGCTCAGTGGAACTTCTCAGGGAGTCACAATTCTGCCTGTGCCCAGCCACACTGGCTCACGTGTTCCCAGCCCAGGCCTCTGCCCATCAAAGCAAGCTCGTCTTCCTCCCCACGCCTGCACTTTGTTCCACTGCTGAGGGCCACCTGAACTCCTCCTCCTGCCCTGTGCTTCCTGGCTTGACCCGCCCTCCCGCCGACCTGCTTCTCCTCTTCTGAAAGGGGCCATCGGCAGCTCCAGGTGCAGGCTCCTTTTTGACTCCTGTGTTTTCATAAACCTTTCCAAGTGCCCCACTTCCCCTCAGTCCGCAAGGCGGTCTCAATGCTATTTTCAAAGCAGGGCAAGGAAAATCGGGGGACATGCTACATCTCCCTGCTGAAACCAGCCTCTATTTTCTGCTTTCCTGAGAAAGATTTCACTATCCCAGGGGTGTCTGTTTTCCTCCCTGGCCCCCCTGGCTGGAGCAGGCCAGCTGGGTCCCAGAGTTGCTCCAGGTTTCATCCCTCCCCACAGTGTAGGCAAGACCCAGCAGAGACCCCCGAGTCTCCTGGGGGTGCAGCTGTGTTCAGGAGCCCCAGACGTGGGAACTGCTCAGCTATTGCAGTCTCCACACTTGAATAATGCTGAACAAGGGGCCCTACATTTTCATTGGAACACTGGGTCCTATAGATTATGTAGCCATATCCATCGCAGGTCTTGGGAACCCCCGGGTGAACCCACTTCCCTGGCATAAAGACTGATGGAGCAGCCCCTGAGCCCCAGGACATCAAAGCTGAGCTGACAAGGGCTGAGAGACCACCTCCCCAGCCCCCTTATTTCTTAGATAAGAAAACTGAGGCCCAGAGAGCTGAAGGTGACTGTCAAACTTGTCCTGCCCTCACATCTGCCTGTGAGGCCAAGGAGGTGCCCTCACAAGCCTCTTATTTTTTTTCCTTTTCTGAGTCATTTACTGACCAATAAAACATTCTAGCTTGGACTGTGTTCTATATTTTTCTTAGATACAATTATTTTTAAATGAACAGTCAATTGTTTAGAAAACCGGGTGAAACCTGACAGAACCGTGTGGTCAGTATTTCAGGCTATCACACGTCTCAAGGTCTCAGCTTGAATTCCATGCTAACTCAGATGCTTGGTGTCCTACTGACATCTATTTGTCAAGGAATGTGTCCGCATTAGTTCATGCGACCCGAAAGTGGGTTATAATTATAACAGTGGCATTGGTCTGACGTGTGGCTTAATTGCACAGGGCCAAAGTGGCGTAATGTAGAAACACCCAGGGAGGTGTCTTTGCTGTACTGGAAAGAACCTGAACTTCAGTCAGAGAGACTTGGCTTCTGCACTGACTAGCTCATGGTCTTCAAGAAGGTCACTTACTGCCTTTTAGTTTTGCTTTTTCATCCAGAAAATTAGAATAATAATACGTCGTCTAGCACTGGGTGTTATAGTGGAAAATATGTTAAATTTAGGGCAGCAGAGCTCAATGAATGTCACCTACCAAAAATCCCTCCTGGGCTGTGCTTTCCTGCCACCCCATATCGTGTTATTAGCGAGGCATCCACGTGAGATCAGGCAGCAGCTCGTGGTTCAGAGTTCAGCACCATGAAGTATATATAATGGGTTCCAACATTAAGCCATTATCTGCCACTAACACCCAGCTGGGCATCACTAACCTGACAGCTAGCTCAGACCCAGGGGGCAGAGCTGTGCCCCTCTAATTCCCACACAGAGGGTAGCTGGAAGAATGGATCATTGTTCAGAAAGTCATGATAAGAAGGAAAGAAAGGTCAGAGGAGGGAGACCACACCTAAGTAAAGGGGATTCCCAAGAGGAAGCTCTGACTAAGGGTGCTTGGGACAGAGGAGCAGAGTGGAGCTTGAACACAGAAAGAATTGTTGCTCCCCTCTCGTCCCCAGCCCGTTTAATTTTTCTATTGTCTACTTTATAAAGTTACTTGATTCCAAGCACAAAAAGCTACAGAATGAAGAATAATCTTGAAAGCACATAAAGGTCATTAATGTTTATACCCAGTTTGAACAAGAAGGAAATAGTGCTTTTATTTTTGTGCCATTAATCACAATACACTCAAATAAAAAATTTTTTTTCAAAAAGGAAAATTCCCAAATCACTGGGAAAGTGGACCCTCCTCAAACACACTACCACTTTGCATTTTAAACTGTCAGAGTCCTCTTGTTACAATGGACAGACTTTGATTTCATAGCCTGTCCAATTCAAAGATCATCACCGTCCCAGATCACTGGCCCCAATATACTGACTAATGCTGAAAACAACTTCTGGGTATGAATGATTAAAATAAGAGCTATTCGTATAAAAATCTCGAAGGTAAATAGGGGTGAAATTGTGCTTTAAAGTTGGGTTTCTCTGGTACATGGGGTTAAGTCCCAGCACAATGAAGCTATCAGCAGCCACTGCAGCTCCCAGCCAGGCAGCTGACCCACATGGTGCGGCAGACCTCTTCTGACCCATCCGCTGCTCCCCTCAGCAGTGTACTTCGTAGATCTGCCTGTTCTTCTCCCTATTTTGTCTCTGGTGAATCCTCTCACCACCCCTGCACCTCTGTCCTGTACCCCAGTTCTTGTATGCATAAATAAACATTTTTTTTAAGGTGCTAATGACAGCTTCATGGGTGTGGAGAGGTTTCCTTTGGGGCTGAAGGTGGTGGTGCAATGGATATAACTGCTCGAAGGGGAGGAGCATAGACAGGCAACACTCCCCCCACGCCCCCCCAGCCCCCATCCCTGCCCCCACGTGCATGCAGCGGCCTTGACCAACAAGTCCCTGCCCCACATGCACCAGACTCCCTGCATGGGCGCCGCTGGGAACAAACAAGGCGATGTATGTTGGATGATGCAGCACATTTTTAGTTTTAGGTCTCTCCTCATTTCTTGGGGCCCAAGGCCTTTCTTGTGGCTCCCTGCTGGAAGGTGCTTTAGGCCCATGGCTCTCAGGCCTCAGAGACCCCACTTTAGGGTGAGTCTGCTGGCTGGGTTTTGGTCCAAGAGTTCTTTTGGGATCCGTCTGCTTCCTTTGCCTTTGTGCTTGCAAATGATTGCACCCCTTTCAGAGCATGCACCCCTTAACTGTCTTGGGGTCCCTAGGTACCCCTCTATTGCACACTAACAGGGCTTACACAACATTGTAATTGATCAAATACACCGAGTTGGTGAACTTCACATTATGTGTATTTCACCACAGAAAAATTGGTAATGAAATTATTTTCCATATTTTCCACAAGAGTGTATTTCATAGATCCATAATCATATTTTTGTGACAGATAAAATTTGAATATTAGAGCTTTTTGGAATGTATTATTGATCTATTTCTAGATAGCTTTTAGAACTACAATGCTCCCCTCCATTTCAATGCCTCCATATGATGCTCCTCAATATCCAGTGACATGAGCTTGAATAGAGCCAATTTTTTCAGTACATGGGAGCTATATTCCTCAACGTCACTTTTTACTTCCTGAAAATACCTAAGCTTTTAGTTGTAGACATCAATTACCAGCCTAATGGAAGATAATGTTGCACTGTACCATGTATCTTTGTCCAGACTTACGTTTTTCCTCACTAAGGTTAATTTTTAAAAGAACAGTTTCAAGTTCCTAAAACACATTCATTTTCTAGAATTACAGAAAATTACCTTTTCACGATTTTCTGAAACACTTAGAATTACTTCTCTGTCATTTGGTCTTACAAATTTGAGACTCCTCGTTGCTCAGGATACATTTCATGCTAGTGGAGGAGAGACTGAAATGGTAAAACTTCAGCCTCAGCACCTCAAAGAACAATGAGCACATCAGAGCGGGATGGGACATGGCACCCACCTGCCTCCCCAAACCACGTGCCCAGGCTTTTCCTCCAGGCTCCTCCTTGAGCCCTTTCAGTTGTCACGATCTGCTCTTATCGCCCTTCAGGAAGAAGCTTCCCCTGCCGAGCCCCCTGTGCCTTGTGGGTGATGAGGGGGGCAAACAGCGAGGTTGGCTCTCAGGGGAAGGATAGTGTGGGATCCCACTGGCTGCGGGCTCCGGCCCTGAAATCAGGACAGGAAGGCACTGGGACAATTCTGTTGTCATATCAAGTGGTAAATCTTCAAAGAACTCTCAGAGCAAGGTTAGCACAGGCTGGCTCCCCGTTCTCCCTCATCCTGGCAGGTGCTGTCCCACCCCGACTGCCTCTCACTGGGCAAAGGAAGCGCCAGGATTTTCTAAAGGATTCAGAGTGTTGGTAGGATCGTCCCGACTCCTGGTGTGTGAAGTCAGGCCCACTTCTGTGTGCACACAGCCCACATTGGCGGTGACGTGCCAATGACTGCCACAAAATAGTTGCAGCTCTTGGTAGGAAGAAAGAAAGAAATGGCAGCGGGTCTGGAGAAACATGCAAATTACTTTCTCTGGTCCGTGGGTGGTTGAGACACAACCCAGGCAGTGAGGTGCTCGGGCGTGAGGGGAACCTACTCCCTGCTCTCCGGAGGCCTTGGTGGCCTTGGGTGTTGAGAAAGGACGCACAGGAGGGTGGTGCTCTGTCTCCTTCAGCCACTCCAGAGCATGTCTGGACCCCCAGGGGGCCCCCCTGAACATTCCCTCTGGCCTCCTGTGGGTACTACATACTCTCTCCTCCTCCTTCAGACACTTGTCTCTTCCTCTTTTTTCTCTGCCCCTCCTTAAAGACTGAAGCAGGCCCAAGAGCCCAGGCCCCCTAAAACAGTATGTCTGACCTGAGGGGCCCATAGCAGGCAATAGGGGGAGCAGCACTTGGCCCTAGAGAAAGCTGCTGGCCTGGTTGAGGGACTGACTGGATGTCTTCTCCAGAGGCAGGCAGGAGGACACCCGAGGGACACTGGGTGAAGCCCGTCACCTGCCCTCATGAGGGGCCAACCTGAGGCAAGTCAGTGTTTGCCACCCAGGGGCGCTGAATTAGGGGCAAAGGAATGAACTTCTCTGAGCAAAAATTGGAGTGGGTTCGCATCAACTCATATACAGTGGTTTAAACTGGCGTTACCTCAGTAGAAAAGATACAATTAAACACATCAAGAAAATTTTAAAAATGGGGTTAATCACAAGTGTGTGAATATGCTAGGTAGACTGGACTAATAAGTGAGTTGCACACTTAAAAACTGCTAACATGGGTGTTTTTATGAGGTGGGATTAATGTTTACCAAGACTGAGTTGTGATAGGAGGACCTGCCCCTGAGGGTGAGGGCGAACTGAGACGCGGCCTGCAAAGACCTGTCACGTGGCCCATGCCCAGTAAGTGCCGGCCACAGCTGCTTTCCGCTGACAGCCTGAGTCTCACCATCAGCCTGGCTTCCCAGACATGGACTATACCCGTGACTCTGGGCTGAGGCATGGGAAGGTGGAAGTCACAACCCCTGATGGAAAAACTGGCTCCTCGCCAGATCTCCAGATCCTGTGTGGAAAGGGAACGAACAGGTGTGATCTCTCTGGGCCTCAGTATCTCCATCGTGACTGGGGAGGGGTACAGCCACAGAGCCTCCCCGGCTCTCCCAGCATGGACAGGGCCCTCAAAACTTCTGCAGCAGCTCCACTGTGATCTCCCTCTCCAGAAGGAAGCAGTCTGGCTGCCAACTCTGCAAATCTAAATTTAACACCAATGATGCCCCAGCTGGCTGGAGGAAGTGGGGCCGGAGGAAGCTGTGCCAGGATGAGAAGAGGTTGTTGGTGAGGGCAGAGGAAGGATGCCAGTGATGGGGCAGGTTCTGCTACGTGCCACTAACAGGACAGTCACCGGAGAGTGGCATTCAGCTTCAAAATGGCAGCTGGTGGCTAGACATCCAGCTTGAGCAGAAATTTTCCAAAAGGAAGATATTTTGTGTGAATCAGAGAAACTCCTCTGTCTGCATGTGCCTCTGGCTTCCCAGGTCCCCTCATAGGTGATGAGGAGGCAGCAGAACCTTCTTCCTGCATGCTTGGGGCATGCACAGGTTAGCTGTGCATCCGGCAGGTGCCTGACCCATTATATGCTCGCTCAGTGTTTGTAGAATAAATAAGGCAAATACATGTGCTGCATAAAGCAAAGCAAAATACGAAAGTTGAAATGGGAGCTCCCAAGTCAGCACATCAAGATAAATATTTAATGTACTATTTTATAATGAATGCAAAACCCATGATGCAAAATGACATTTCAAATGAAGGCAGCAGCAGTTTCTAACTGCCCAGCCTCCCACCCAACATGGCCTGTGTCCTAGCAACGTCTTCTTGGAGGGCTGTCGCTACAGCCATCAATTTCCCTCTGCTGGCCGAGGCCCTAAAGGACACTCCTGGTGTTATTCGCCTGTTCTCAGTATCCCTCTCTCCTGGGCTTGGGCCAGAGCCCAGGAGACCTGCCCATGTCCAGTCTCTCTTTTGCTTTTCCACCCTAATCATGACCTCCCTGAGTAAAGAAAAAGAAATATAATGTACTGTGAAAATGATGAATGGCATCCTGAAAGAATCTCCAGCAGCAGTAAGGTGGGACGTCAGCAGACCAGTGATGATGGTTTTGTTTTTAAAATTCCATTCATAGCACAATGGATGTCTTATTTGCTTCTATATATACCAAGGAGAATATTGGGGGAAATTCTCTGGATCTTGGAAACATCTAAGTTGGTACTATAAAGCCATCCTAAGGCAGTGCAACCAAGCAAATGTAAACATCACAGGGCAGAACCGAAATCAACTGGGGTTCTAGAAGTTCTAGAAGCCACTGAATAACTCTAGGCCAAGACAAACTCTCAGGCCTGACTCAGCAGACACTTGTGTGGGTTCCTAAGGAGGCAGTGGCCTGGTGAAAGCTGTGTTTTAGAAATATCAGCTGAAAAGGGCCCAGATAAACTTCCCAAATGGCTTGGAGGTGCTTTCTGACGAGGCAGAACTGCCCTGATGAGAAGGAGAAGGGTCCGCCTGAGATCTTGGCTCTGAGGTGAGGGCTGGCCTCACAGATCCCGACAGGGAGACACCAGGACTGGACCCAGCCTTAGTTGTGGGGGTGATGAAGGAGGAAGGATTTACCTGCTCTTTGTGTTTGCAGGGAGTTTAATTTAAAACCCTCTTTACTTCATTCCTAAATCCAGATTAAACAGGGATTTTCTCTGACTAACATTACTTTTGCATTCTATCTTCTTTGGAAAGACAGAAGTGAAAAAGAAATGTGCTAAAACCTGCCCCTTCGTGGTTCTCTGTGAATACACTAAGGAGCTGAAAAGCAGTCAAGGTGTTCTTTGATCTTTTCTTTCCCCTTACTAAAATTGGAAAAACAGACTTCTTGCAGGTGATCCCATCTTTTAAACCATCTCCTGTATTTAGTAAGCTACTGAAAAAGTACTTGTAAAATATGCTTTACTCTTGGGTGATGTGGCAAGAAGGCCCGTTGCTGCTGCCTTGCTGGTGCCCGCTGGCCTGACTGAGCTCTGCCTGGTCTGTCTGTCCCTCCACCTTCCTTCCTGAGGCTGTTCTGGGCCTGTAGATGCCTTTCTGACGGGCAGTCAGCACCTGTGCCCTCCTCTCCTCTTGGGGAACTCTTAGCTAGTGGGCTTTCCTGGGGCTCTACAAAGATCTCCTCTCTTGGCCTAGTAATACCGCCGGCCCAGGACAATACTGGTCATACTGCCATGGTGCTCAACCATGGCCACACATGACTTTTCTGGAACCCACGGTCTGTAGGTTCACCTAGAAGTCAGTAGCCTGGATGGAGGCTTTTTAAAATTATTTTTAAAAAGATTTATTCTACTTATTTATGTATACAAGAGCTGGGGTGTAGGCCAGAGGTCTGGGGTGGGGGTGAGGGGTTGAGAGGATTCACCAGAGACAGAGTGGGGAGCAGAACAGGCAGATCCACTGAAATACATGGCTGAGGGGAGCAGCAGGTGAGACAGGAGAGGTCTATTTCACCATGTGGGTCAGCTCCCTGGCCCTGGATGAAACTTGAGCTGCAGTGGCTTTGGATAGCTTGATAGTGCTGAGACTTAATCCCTTGTACCACCAGGGAGGCCCAGGCATGAGAATCATTAGAAGCTCCCCAGTGATTCACCTCTGTACCCAAAGTCAAGACCACTTCCAAGATGGAGATGGATGGAAGCTCTTCACTTCCATTCAGAAGTTTATTGAAGAAGGCTGGGCTGTTTGTGATCAGCTCCTGGTGCCAGGCTGCCTGGGGCCAAAAGGCAAGCAGATAAGCAATGTCTTTGTGCATAAATTATATTGATCAGAGCAGAGGTGAAAGTAAAAGCCTGGTCACTGGGATCCACACCTTGGCATCGAATTTCCCCTGCTCTTTTCCCCTGTTGAAAGCAGGCATCACGCCCTTGACTCAAACTTGCTTCTTGCTTTCCTGGGGAGAGAGTCTGGGTAAGCCTTTTCCTCCACTCTGGATCCTTACTGTCTTTATTTCCTGTTTCTCGAGTCTTTGCAAGATGAGTGACAGCGAGGACAAGGCTGTGGGTGTGTCTTAGTCCAACCATCACAGCAAACTGTGTGATTCCATGTTAGACATCTGCTCCAGGCAGTCCGGCCCCTTTGGGATGGTTCCTGGAACACTTCCACCCCACCCTGCAGTTTTTAAAGTAAAAATACCCAGACCTTGGGTATTCTAAGTCCACATGGAGAAAAGTCAGAAGTCCCACAGTCCAACAAAGCACACGCCCACCCTAGGTTATCAAGTAACTGCTCAGCTGTTTACTTGAAGCCTCACCTATCTGTCCTCAGGTAATGAGGACGTCAGTTCCCCCTAGAGGGCACATTCCTTATTTGGACACAACTAAAAGGCCCCAGGTGGAAAAGGTGTGAGTCCTCACAGCTGTGCTTAAAGGTCGGTCTCACCACCTGGGAACTTAAAAATGTAAATCAGCAGAACCCACCTGGAACCTGCCCAGTTAGAAAGTCTGGGTGTGGGCCCAGCCTCCTTCATCTCAAAAGCCTCCAGTGGTTCTGGCTTTCAGTTTCTAGAGTATGCCACTTATTTGAAAACTGTTGATACTTTTCCTAGGAATTTTTTCCTCCCTCAGTGCTTCCTGGGATCAAAATCTGTTGAGACCCAAGTTCAGCCAGAGTCACACAACACTAGTCTGTTTTTACATAACTAAGTTTGTTGATATTACTTCAAATGCTTGAAATCTTAACCAAAAAAAGAGAGAGAGAATACAAAATTTGACTTGATTTATGGAATTATGACTATTAAAACTATCTATATGACCTGCTCACTGTATCAAAATGCCATACTGTTTCAAAATGGCATATGCATGTATTTTAAATATGTTAAATACTGTGTTTACTATATTTCGTTAAATGAACATGGTTTTCTCATCACAACTTTTAAAAATGAGAACAGTTTGATCTCTCAAACCTTCCACAACTGTGGGAGGCTAGCTGAAAGGAATAATCCAACTGGAGCTATTTTATGTTATCTGCTTTCACCTACACTTACTGACAACTCATCTCAGTAAGACCACTGCCATCTAAACTCAGCAAACCTTCCCCAACCTGTGGCCTGTCCCTTCGCCCCAGGTAGCAAAGGAGGAAAAGTGCCCCCAGGTAGGGCCACACCTCCAAGAGCAGCCGGCTGTGTGGGCAGAGCTGAGGCGCTGCTTGTGTGGACACTTCCCTGGTAACAGCAGTAACTGAGCAAGCTGTCAACAAGATGCAAAGTTTAAACAAAAAACATATCATTTATGAAACAATTCAACAGTTTACTAGAATCACAATAACTTCATAATCTGATAAAAAGTCATAAAGAAATGCCAAGAAGCAGCAAATATCAAGTTGAGTAAAGGACACAATTGTACCCAACTGTTTTGCAGCGATTTACACGTTGAATCTGCACCTGTGGCAAAGTTGCTTTTAGGGTCAGCCCCAGGCTCCCTGTTCTTCAGAACATCTGATAGGACCCTTCACTCTGGCTCATAGTCCTTTTACCAGTTAAATAGTGAAAAACTAGAGGGTGGGAAAAACCAGCACCGCTCTCTGCTCTCCCTTTGAATTATTCCATCTCTTCACAACATATCTGGTTCAATTTCCTCTCAATCTCTTCCTCTCCACCAGCAATCCTCTTTCACTTTTCCCCTTTCTTCTAGCTCAGATTGTTTAAAATTCCTCAGGAAAAGGAGACCATTTGGTGCAGGTTATATGGGAACAAATCCTGGAATACCAGAGTGTTGGAAGGCAACCCAAGGGTCCAGCTCCTGAGACCCTCAGGGTGTCTCGGGCAGGAGAGTTTCTTCCCTTCTCCCCGCCAGCCCCGCCAGCCTTTCCTCTCTGCTCCTGGGCCTGGAGCGTGGCTGAGCTCTGACAGCATCCCACCACCACCTCCCTAAGTGGGGACTATAAATATGTTTTCATTCCCTTTGTTACCCAAATTACAACTAAGCCCTTACCCCTTCTCACATCCAGACTTGTGGTCTTCAGTGGGCCCCCACTGAGGATAATTCTCCAAGATACAACCTTAACCATGTCCTGAATGAAGTTTCTCTAATCATTCTCTTCTATCCCTTCATGCCACAGGAACACACCACCCCCATAGCCCAGCTGAAAATGGGCTGCAACTACTACAGGGATGATGGAGAGGAATTCTCTGTTGAAAATCTTTAGTTATGGTGTCGGGAATAGCCCTTCTCAGAGCTAAGGCCCAGAGCCAGCCAGAAGGTCATAAAGCCAGAAAGTCCCTTCCCTGGCTCCCCGCTATTGAAAATCCCTCAGGCTTGTCTGTGTTATCCCAGATCCCAGCACCCAAAGTCATTAGACCTAGAAAGAGAAAGAGCTCCCCCAAACCCTCAGTCTACGTCTCCACTTCTTGTTTGAGAATCTCTCTTTTCCCATGGGGGGGGTATTTAGCCTTAAAGTAATTCCTAGCAAAAGTGTTGTTCCACACGTGTTCTAGATCCTACAGCCAAGGGAATGTTTCTAAGATTTCCCCCTAGCATAGATCTATGCTAGTTCAAACGTTCTCCTCCAATGCATATCACCTAACAGAAGGCCTCCCCTTCCCCCCCCCCCCCAGTCAAGGAAACCAGCACTCAGGTTTATAGGAAATCACAATTTTCTCCAAGAACAGTGACAGTGTACAAACTAAAACAGCCAAATCAAATAATCTTCTCAGAACAAAAAAACGGCTAACCAGCAAGGTAAATTCACACACCCTATTCTTCTCTTTATATATAAAAAGAGAGTCAGGAATTTACTATGCAGGAGAGAAAATGTGGCCCTGTACTTAACATTTTCCTCTGTATGTGGACATAAAATAGGTAATAGAAGTGACCTCTGTACATATACAGGTTACAAAGATTCAAGAAGTATAGAAATAAAATCTTCACTAGAAACTAAAGTCCCCTTTTTGTGTGAAGTAGAAGCCCCCACCCTCGTCAGGGCCTCTGGATCCCACTGCCTGTGAGCCCCTGTGCGCGGGTACCCCCAAGCCTATTATCGTTCTGTTTGCTCTGCCCCTGAGCAGAGCCCACCCCAAGTAACGGGCAGCTTTTCTGATTTGTGTGAAGGCCTCTGTCGGCTTTGAGGACACCTTTTAACTTTTTCTTAAATCTCCTTCGAAAAAGTGATGCACAGCCTCCCCGAACCCACCCACTGCGCGGGTGCTTGTGGGTGCCTTCCTTCCCACCCCCACACGGTGAGACACACTACTCTAAACTCTCTTCTCTTCCCTCTCTCTTTCTCTTTCTCCTCCATTTTGCTAACAATAATCTCTTGGGAATTTTTATATATCAGCAATACCAATCTATGTTTCTTTTTTTCCCTCACAAGGGTCTATGGTATTCCTTTATGTGACTTGTATCAAAGTTTATTTAACTAGTTCCCTTTTTGTAACTGATGGTCAGTTAGGTTGTTTCCAGGTTTTTAGGAGGATAAAGGAACATGCGGACAAGGATTACGACACATAATCCTGCAATAAACATGTCCGTGTGTATTTAGTGGTATTATTTTATGACTATGTTCATAAAGCAAATTCCTAGCAGTGGAATTTTTGAGTCAAAAGGTATGGAGGTTTTTAATTTTGACAGATATATTGATTTATAACAATTTATATTCCCGAGAGTATCTGTATTCTCATACCCTCATCAACCCTAGGTTTTATCATACTGAAGTTTCACTATTCTAATAAGCAAAACACATCTCATTGTTTTGACTTATGTTTCCTTAAATATAGGATATGAAATAGGTGATATGAAATATAGGTGATATGAAATACCTTTCACTAGTCTACAGTCACTTTACTTTTTCCACTCATTTTCCTATTGAATTACTTTTTTTTTTTACTGAGTTGCAAGATTTCTTTGTAAATGAAAGCATAGTTATTTGACCATTATTTGCTGCAGATATTTCTTGCAGTATATCATTGTCATTTAGCTTTCAATGCTGTGCAGTTTTTCCAATGCAATCAGATTTGCAGGTCATTTTCATTATGACTTTTGCGTATGTGCAACTTTTAAATAATAGTTTTTCCAGATTATACCAAGTCAATTTAACAACAGTAACAACATCTTGTTGATTTCAGCCTCTGGGGTGACCTTCAACAGTGCTTGCTCTGTGGATACTCTAAGAACAGTAAATGATAAGCAGTGAGGCTTTTGAAAGGATCAAAACGCTTTTGCCTCAAATGTCTCCTCAGAAAGGACAGATCTGAGAATTAGAATTCCTCTTCACAGCCTGAGGCTGCCCCAGACATCCAAAGGACAGAGACTTCACCACAATCACATTCCTTCTAGAAGCAGTCACATTTTCAACTTACTGAAGTAGTAGATGACCACATTAATTAAATGCAATATAATTTATACTATTTGGTAAAGTTTTTCCCCTTTTTGTAGTCAAAAAGGATAGAAGACTTCTTTTAAAAAAATCAACCTTGTCATTAACATTTTATGTTTAATTTTGTTTCTTACAGGCAACTTCAAAAGATGGTCCATGATATTAAGAACAATGAAGGTGGAATAATGAACAAAATCAAGAAGTAAGTTAGCCTCCATAGTTCTGTATAAACAACTATGACACAATGAGCACACAGAGAACAACCTGTGTGTGAGCCTGTGCTGAGGAGAGGGAAATAAGCCTTAGTACACTTGAAAGTGAGGGATCACAAAAGAGTAGGATATCACTTCCTCGTGTTTTTAGACCACAGAATATAAATGAGGCTTCATCTACATAAGGGACCGTTACTTGTGAGGCAGTGGGTGGCTCACAGGGAGGAGACTCTGTCCCCATGTCCTGTCCTATGACTGGGAGAGGTATGTGATCATTTTCATTTCTTATTTCTGACACCTACAGAATCTCACTGAAGGGAGAGAACCTTATGGCCATTGTTTTCATCAGTTGCAACTTGAGATTAATTGTCTCACAGCTGCCAGTTTTCCAGGACACCAGTTTTCTCACTCATGAAGCCTCTGTACAATACATCTCTCTATTGCATCGTCATCCTCCCAACAGCCATGGAACCCGAAATTTTCCAGTTTCTATTTCATCCTGCCCCTTGTCTCCAAAAACACTTTACTTGACAAGCCGTGTTTCTTCTCAGTTTGGAAAATGGCGGCCACAGTCAACACCCTGGGTGAAGTCGATGGCCCCTTGGTGCTAAGTGACCTGCAGCTAAGCGCTCACTGTTAGCCAGGCAGCAGGTGCCACCCTGAGAGGAGGAAGTATGGTTGAACACTCTGGTTTCCTAACACAAGACCGTGACAGAGTTGTCCACGGTCGAATGAGAAAACAGGGACCTTGAAGTGTTGGGGGTTGGGGTGCAGCTGCTGGCTGCTAAGGGGGAGCAGAAACCACACCTTCCATCCCTGGTGGGGTCCCGTTCTTTCTTGAGTCTGTATCTTCTACGATGGGGCCCTTCAGACCTAGGGGTATTAAGATACCACCACCCCCCTCCCTGGTAGTGCAGCGGGTTAAAGCGCAGCAGTAAGAAGCTAAAGTCACTTCAGCTGGAGTTTGATCCCAGCCCATATGGCGCGGCAGATCTCTCCTGACCCGCCCACTGCTCCCCACTCTGTCTCTGGTGAATCCTCTCACCGCCCCTGCACCTCTGGCCTGTACCCCAGTTCTGTATGCATAAA